CAGAGACACTGCAAGACCCAAACCCTTGCTGGGGTGGTGGGCTTTCCCAAACAAGCCTGCTCTGACCCTCTTTGCTTTTCTCCACCCCTGGCATCTCAGCTATGTGGATGGCTCCTGCCCACTGCTCACTCTGACTGCAGCAATAAGAAAAGGCTTTGTCCTGTTTTCCCTTCTTTCGTATTCCCTTGGAGGCCCACAGGAGAGCGTGGGGTTCCTCCTGCTGCTTGCAGCCCTCTCTGCTCTCAGCAATACCCCCTCTGCAGTTCTGGCCGTGGCCACCTCCCTTTAAACCCACAGTGGCGTCGTCTGGGGGAAGGTGCCAGCAGATGGTGCTCTAGGACGCTGTATGCAGCACCTCTGCCCCACATCGCAGGGCAGGGCTTCACTTCCACGGGCACCCTCCACGGTCCAGCCTTTCCCACCTTGGGCACTGCCCATTGCAGCTTCAGGAGGGCCAGCAGCTCAGGGTGAAACCTCAAAGCTGACCATGTGCCAGCATCCTCCTGCTCCATCCCCTGGGAGAGCGTATTCCATTGGCAAGAGGGGGGGGTTTCCAAGTCAAGACAAAAATGATATTATTTCATCCAAACTGATTTATTCTGGAGAAGTCCAACAAATTCTTCTCTCTGACTCGCTCCTAAAAATGGTGGCCCATATGTTGTAGCCATATCCTTGTGCAGAGCATGCTGCTGACTTTAGGATAGTATTTCAACAGGTCCATCACAGAGAACTTTCCATCCTCAGAGGCGGACAAAGCAATTTTCTGATTTAAAAAAAGGCAAATTTCAAGACAGAACGGCAGCCCAACTGATTACACACAGCAGGAACTTTGGCAAGAAAAGCCAGAGGCAGGCAGTGCTGGTAAGAGTGAGTTATAGCTGTGCTCTGCAGTTTATGGGAGAAGTAAGGTCTGTGTTTACAAAGTGAGAAGAAGAGTGTGAAAAAGTGCTTTTAAGCTGTCAGCTATTTATCTCCGATGCTTGTTTAATTATGGACTAAATATTACAGTGGGAGGAACCAGAGGGTGCAAGCACTTTCCTGCCATGGCAGGAAAGCAGTGTAGGCACTTTAAATTCATGCTGCACTGCTGTCGGTGCTACAGTGGTGATTTGTGGGGAAGTGGGAGCAAGAGGTGATGGTATGCCTGCATGATGCAGCTGCTTGGGTATTTGGACTGCCAGCTTAGACTATAAGTTTTGTTCCCTTGCAAGCTTAGAGCCATTCTGTTCAATTGCTGCTGTGAATAAATTCATTGTATTATAGGAACACCATCCCCAAAGTCCCACTTCAGTAATGATTCTTTTCCTGCTGGAAACCAAGCTGATCTTGATCATCCCTCTCCCCCATAAGCCAGTGTTATGGTGTTTGCCCCAAAACTCACAAATGGTTTTTAGGGCCAAATATACAGAAATCAGTTTTCCCCACCCAAACTTGTGAGATAAACCACAGCAGGGGTTTAAAGGTGCATAACAGCATGAAGACTCACGCGTTCTGCTGAAACTGCATGGTGGAATTTGGATTAGCAGGATGTAATGACTGGAGCAGGAGTTTGGTGATTCTGATTCTGGATGCTGAGAATGATCTCAGGCAAACACAAGCACCAGAAGTCTCATTGCTGAGTCCCAACCTGGGAACAGCTGCTCTCACGGTTGTTTGTGGCATCCACTCTGGGAAGAAGATGCTGGAAATGCTGCTTAGGAAGACTTGCTCTTTCCTTTTGGGGAGAAGATGAAGGTAGAAAGCAAGGAACTGGATAGAAAACCAAAGAAAATGCCAGTAATGAGGTAGCTGTCAACACTCCCTGCGGATATCCTCACGGCAGCAGAATTATTTATAGACAGAAGTGTCTCAGAAATTATTTTCTCTGACACTGGTGGTGGCAGAGTAACGGATAGCTCTACAGGATGGGTTTTCAAAACCACTCAATTAGGAGCAATGAGGTGCAAAATTAGATGTGCAAAGAATTGGAAACAAAGATATTTGAGATGAAAGGGACTTTACTGGCCTGACAACACCATCCTGTTTCCAACAGGACAGAAGAGTTCTTTTCTTAGCACCGTGATGTACAATTGTTCATTTTTATAGACACTTCTGTGTACATGAATGTGACATGTAGAGCCAGAAAAGGGCACATCCATCCAAAGAGGCACTCGGGCACAGCCAGTCAGAAACTTCCTCCAGGATGTCTCTGGATATAAGGACAATGTTTGTTATGACAGAGGGAAGTGAAGAACTGGAACAAGTTGCCCAGAGAGGTGGTGGATGGCCCATCTCTGGAGACACTCAAGGTCAGGCTGGATGGGCTCTGAGAATCTGATGGAGCTGTGGGTATCACTGCTCACTGCAGAGAAGTGAGGGCCATGAAGACGATCAGAGGGCTGGAGAACCTCCCCGATGGGGACAGGCTGAGAGAGCTGGGGATCTGCAGCCTGGAGAAGAGAAGGTTCCAAGGGGACCTTATAGCAGCCCGTCAGTACTCGAATGGGGTCTACAGAAAAGCTGGGGAGGGACATTTTATAAGGGCATGTTGCGACAGGACAAGGGGAAACGGCTGTAAACTGGAAGAGGGTCGATTTAGGCTAGATACTAGGAGCAATGCTTTGCTGTGAGGGTGGTGAGCCACTGGAATGGGTTGCCCAGCGAGGTTGTGGATGCCCCCTCCTTCCCTGGAAGCATTCAAAGCCAGGCTGCATGGAGCTGTGAGCAGCCTGTGCCGGTGGGAGGCGTCCCTGCCTATAGCAGAGGTTGGAACTAGATGATCTGAAAAGTGCCTTTCAGCCCCAATGGTTCTGTGATTGCAATTCCCTGGCATTCCTTAGTCTCTCCACCTCCCCCGAGAGCTGTGCCACCAGGCTGAGCACACCCTCCATCCCCCTGCCCTGACCTCATGCAGGTGGTATCTCTGCCGCCTCCGCTGGCAGCAGCAGGCTCAGGCACTCTGAGACCTGGACAGCTGTATTTCTGGGTAGGCACTCAGTTTGGGTAGCTGCGCTCTTTTTGGCGAGAGCTTTCTCCTGGGTGGAGGCCATGGCTAGGTTTGTTGTCAAGGAGGAAGCCAGTGGGTGAGGGGGTCTCCCGAGTGGGCAGGGAGGCTCTTCCTTCCCTGCTCGCCCTGCCTGCGCCAGTGGCAGTGCCACAGTCTGTTTGCTGGCTCTGTTCAGCCACGTTCCTGGTTGACCACGCTCCCCGAGGGCAGCCTTTGTACGTTCAGGATTTGACCCCGTCACTCCTGGCACGCTCACAGCCCCTCAGAACTACTGTGCTTGCACACTGTGAGGGGACTGCGGGTCCCTGCCTCTCCCTGAACTGTTTCCCGCAGATCTCTTGCGATGGCTCGGCTTCGTTCTCATCTTCTACGCCCTTTCCCATCTTAGTCAAAGTTAATTTCCTTACCAAATGCGCCGACTTTCTCAGGCCGTTTTCTCGTCTTGTGAACACGGGCGTCTGACAGTGGCACAGATGGGTTCTGTGGCTGAACCACAAGTCCTCTCACAGGGACCGGAGCAGCTGCAGCTCCCGTCGCAGGGCCTGTCCCGACCGCAGGGCCCGTCACGAGGGCAGAAGCAGCTGCACGGCCCATTGCAGGGCTTCGAGCAACCCCAGCACCCAGCGTAAGGGCTGGAGCAACCACCGGGCCCGTCACAACGGCAGGGCCTATCACCAGGGTTGAAGCAACTGCAGGCTCCGTCACGGCACTCGGAGCAACTGCCGCTTGCGTTGGAGGGTTGCAGTGGCTGCAGGGCCTGCTGAGTTGCCATGAGCTGCAAAGATCTCCAGGGATGGAGCATCCACAAGCTCTGTGGGCAGCCTCTTCCAGCACCTCAGCACTCTCTCTGGAAAGAACTTCCTCCTGGCATCCACCCTAAACCCTCCTTTGCTGAGCTTAGAAGCGTTCCCCCTTGTCCTCTCGCTGTCTACCCTTGTAAAAAGTTGATTCCCCTCCTGTTCCTTATGCCCTTTTCCACACTGGAAGGCTGCAAGGAGATCTCCTTTGCAGCCTTCTGTTCTCCAGGCTGAACAAGAGGTCAGTGTGTTTGGTCAACGACCAGTGTGTTTGGTCAATGTTTGCTTTTCTCCTGAAGCCAAAGCGTTGTACCTGACACTGGGAAGGAAAAACAACCGTTGCAGCTGAGAGCAGAGATCTGTCATTTGAAAGGTGATAGAGACGTGCTCAGCAATCACTTCTTACAAGGCCACCAGCATGTGTGGGTGCAGCCAGGCTGGAGGAGGCCTCTGGGCAGGCAAGGCCACAGCTCAGCCCAGAGAGCTGCCCTGCCCTGCCCTGCCCTGCCCTGCCCTGTGCTGACCACACACACTCGATGCACTGCAGCGCCTCGAGGCTCGCAGCATCCCCAGAGCAGAAGCAGCCCTCAGATCTGACAGCACTGCTCGCATGCAGGAGGAAAGCCCGGCTCTGACGCAGCTGGAAGCAGCCCTGGACCTGACGTGCACCCTGAACACGGTGGCGTCCCATGCCCAGAAACAAGCCCAGAACCGGGCTGCTCCTGCCAGTGTGGCCTGGGTTCTTGAGGAATGTGGGCCGTGTGCCCACTGGGGGTGTGGCCCAAACCCAGCTCAGCCTGGACTGGGCCAGGTGAAGTGAGGTGTGGGGAGGAGACAAGCCTGTCGTCAAGGTCCCTACCTGCACCCGCCTCAGCGAAAAAAAAGCAGGGAAGGATGAAGCTGACAAATGTGTGTGGGGGGGATCTCTGATCTTTATTGTGTTGGACTTTTAAGACCAGAGTAAGTAGGGGAGATAGGACAAGGAGGGATGGTTTTAAACGGAGACAGGGGAGGTTTGGATTAGATCTTAGGAGGCAGCTTTTCCCACAGAGCGCGGTGACACACTGGAACAGGTTTGCCAAGGATGTTGTGCATGCCCCGTCCCTGGAGGTGTTGAAAGCCAGGCTGGATGTGGCTCTGGGCAGCGTGTTCTACCCTGCACATAGCAGGGGGGTTGAAACTAGATGATCACTGTGGTCCATTTCAACCCAGGCCATTCAGTGAGTGGCACACGACTGCTCGTACGTAGACTCGGGGGCTGTCCGTGGGGACCTTTGGCTCTGAAGTTGTTCCTGGGAGCAGCTTCATTCCCGGGACAGCCTCCGCCATTGGGCCCGGCTCCCGCTGCCTCTTTGGGGTGAGCAGTGGGAATGGTGAGCCCAGCGTCTCTGTGGAGGAGGGCTTTGGGTGTGGGTGCGCCCTCGCTGCCTGGATGGTCCCCTGCGTCCGGGCACTCTGGAAGGCCTCGGGGAGCTCGAAGTGGCAGATCTTGTTGATCTGTGGGTGCCACTCAGCTCCCCTGGGGCTGGCGTTTGCCGGCTGCCATGGTGTCCTCTTGGCCGGCTCTGGGAACTCGGGAGGGCCAGGGAGTGCCCTGCACGGCACGTCTCTGGTGCTCAGTCCTTGCTCTCCCAGCCTGTGGTGAGGCTGAGATCTCCCGCTGAGCCCCAGAGAGCTGCTGCGGTAACTCACCCCCTTCTCTCTGCCTGCTCTCTGCCTCCATGGTAAAGGCATTCGCTGGCATTGCAGCGGCTGTGCCTCTCTTGGAGCCTGTGTTCCTGTGCCTCATAGCTGTCCCATTCTGGGTCTCTGCAAGAGAAGGGAGGGGAAGTGATGAGCCTCTGGTGTCCCCAGCGTAAGATCCAAGCTTATCCCATCTCATCCACTCCGTCTCCACTTCCAGCTTCTCCATGAGGCTGGGGCACATGTTCACGCGACAGCCAAGGGCCAGGCCTGCCAAGACAGTCCCTGGGCAGGCGCAGCACTGCAGCCTTAATGTGAGCAGAACCGGGCAGAAGGACACCAACCTGCGTGGGATGTGGATCCCCATGATGTACATTTCCTCAGAGAATCCACTGTAGTCTCAACAGCCGGGGCAATCAAAGTAGTTCGTGCCAGCACTCAGTGCCAGTTGCTGCAGGAGAAGCACAAGCAGGGTGAGTGTGAGCAGTGCCTGGTGCTGCTGAGCGCCAAGCGTGCCTGCGTGCCTTTGTCCTCTTCAATATCTTGTCCTCTTCAATATCTAGTCCTCTTCAATATCTTTATTGATGACCTCGATGAGGGCATCAAGTGCACCCTCGTTAAATTCGCAGATGACACCAAATTGGCTGGAAGTGTGGATCTGCCTGGGGGTAGCGAGGCCCTACAGAGGGATCTGGACAGGCTGGAGAGCTGGGCTGAAGCCAATAGGATGAGTTTCAACAGGGCCAAATGCCGGGTCCTGCACTTCGGCCACAACAACCCCAGGCGACGCTACAGGCTTGGGGCGGTGTGGCTGGAGGACTGCGTAGAGGAAATGGACCTGGGGATATTGATTGATGCTCGGCTGAACATGAGCCCACAGTGTGCCCAGGTGGCCAAGAAGGCCAATGGCATCCTGGCTTGCATCAGAAACAGTGTTGCAAGCAGGAGCAGAGAGGTGATTGTTCCCCTGTATTCAGCACTGGTGAGGCCGCACCTCGAGTACTGTGTCCAGTTTTGGGCCCCTCACTGCAAGAAAGATATTGAGGCCCTGGAACGTGTTCAAAGGAGGGCAACAAAGCTGGTGAGGGGTCTGGAACACAGGCCATATGAGGAGAGGCTGAAGGAGCTGGGAATGTTCAGCCTGGAGAAGAGGAGGCTCAGGGGAGACCTCATTGCTCTCTGTAACTTCCTGAAGGGAGGTTGTAGTGAGCTGGGGGTCGGCCTCTGCTTTCGTGTCATCAGTGTTAGGAGCAGGGGGAATGGCTTCAAGCTACGGCAGGGGAGATTCAGGCTGGACATGAGGAAGTATTACTTTTCAGAAAGGGTGGTCAGGCACTGGAACGGACTGCCCAGGGAGGTGGTGGAGTCACTGACCCTGGGGGTGTTCAAAGAAAGACTGGATGTTGTGTTGAGGGACATGGTTTAGTAGGAGCTATTGGGAATAGGTGAACGGTTGGACTGGGTGATCTTTTAGGTCTTTTCCAACCTTGGTGATTCTATGATTCTATGATTCTATGCATGGTGAGGGGAGGGCTCCTACCTGGATGCAGGCCCAGTGGAACCAGGCACGCTGGCACACTGGACACACCGTGGTGTGGTAGGACAAGCTGTCCCCCACAGGCTCAAGGCAGATGATGCAGTTGTTGCCTTCTGCTGGGACTTCCCGAGTCATCTGTCGAGGGTGGTGCTCCCAACAGAAGGATCTGGGGGAGGATGGAAGGGATGGGCACGGTGAGAAGTGCTGCGAGGAGGGCAGAGGTCCAGGAAAGAGCGCCCAGGCCCTGCCTCTAGCTCTGGCAGGCCGCTGGCAGGTGGAACTGCAGGTCCTCCGTGGCTTGGCTGCTGCTGACAGCCCTTACCTGTGCTCTCTGAAGTGCTGGCTGATGCATTCCCCGTCTGCGGCACAGGTCAGATGGAAGCTGCGTGCACAGCCGCTCTCTGCGCATGTGATGGCAGCCCCCCTCTCGCTGCAAACACAGCATTGCTGGAAAGAGCAGAGCAGCCCTGTCAGCAGCAGGCTCGGCTTCCACGGCCGGCCCCACACCTCTGGCAGGGGACAGGACACGGGCATTGCTGGGCTACCCTCTACAAAGCAGCCTGGGAGACAGGGCTGATCTCCTATGGGCAGGACTTTTCCTGGGGGCGGTTGGAAGGGCTGTGATTGCTTTCCTTGGGTCCAGACTAAGCTGGTGTGAGCCCTTCCTGGCACAAATCTGCCTGCTCCATACAGGTCCTCACCTGCTTGTTAGCCTGCTTGACCTTGTGTGTGATGGCAGCAACCGGCAGGCCCCCAGTTCTTGGTTCGGAAGTGATGTTGGCAAACATCTGTAGGAGAGAAAAGAAGAGCGGGATCTCATTAGGACAGAAAGAAAGGGAGCATCGCCGGCGGGAATCTGGAAGGAGCCCGTGGGGGAACTCACCAAGCAGAACTCGTGGACACAAAGGCCGATCGCAAAAAGCGTGTGCCCGCAGATGTCCAGGTCGACATCTGCCTGGCCACACAGCACACACACTGCAGAGGAGAGAGCAAATGTGAGCAGCGGTGAGCACTTGGCAGGGCCAGGTGTCCCTGAGGGCCGTACCCAGGGTCCCGCTCTGTGCCTGCCGTGCTGGCTGGAGGCGGTGGAGGGGAAGGGGCCACGGCAGGCCCAAGGCAGCCGCGGCCCAAGCCGGGCCCCCTTGCCAAGGAGCAGAGGGGCCCTGCCCCATGCCTGTGTGGGAGCTCCTGCCTGCCCCTTCCTCCCCTCTCAGCTCTCAGCCGCAGGCCAGCGTCGGGAGCTGTGTACAGGGATGCTGTGCTCTCACCTGGCTCCTCCGTGCAGGAGGCCTTCCACTTCCCATTGGACGTCATTGTGCTTTGATAGCGAGCACTACGAGAGTCCCTGCTCTCTCTGCGCCTCACCAGACCGCACTGATGCTTGACCTGAGCCCAGCAGCCTTTGCTCTGCTCCAAGCTTCATGTGTCGCAATGGCTGCTCTATGACACCCACTGTGGGCACCGGCCCTCGAGCAAGAGGGTGGCAGCCCTTGCAGGCAGCACAGAGTGAGGACCTGGTGCTGCCACGCTGCAGAGAGGAAGGACGGCTTCCCTCAACCTGCTGGCGCCGCTCCTCGTGGCAGATGCTGGAGTGCAGCTGTCCCTTGGGCGCACTTGCAGCCCTGGTGCCACGCTAGCACTTCAGATCTGAGTCTGGACTAGGTTTCTGGAGGGTCTAGTAAAGATTGCAAGTTAACAGTATATTTGGTGTCTAGTGTGTGTGGTGAATGACTTTTTACAAGGTCTGATAGGGACAGGACATGGGTTGATGTAGTTTTAATCTAGGAGATTTGATTAAGTCTTAGGGGGAATTCTGTAGTCCGAGATTGGTGAGACACAGCTGGCACAGGCTGCCCAGCGAAGCTGTGGATGCCCCATCCTTGGAGAAGTTCGAGGCCAGGCTGGATGGGGCCCTCATCTCCCAGGCAAGAGGGTAACAGCTCCACAGCTTCTCTGAGCAACCTATTCCAGTGCATCACTGCCCTCCGATTCAAGAATTCCCTCCCAACGTCCAATCTCTATATATCTTCCCTCTTTGTTCAGTATTATGCATCACCTCAAAGCACAGCTAATTGCCTCAGGTTTCCCTTGACACCTTTCCACTTGCGTGGGCAACGCAGCAGATCTTCTTTGAAAGGATACTTTCTCTTCATGGCTGAGAAGGAAAGAATCACTTCCACACTATGAAAGCAGATAGCCCTTTTCCAATTGATTTTTCAATCACAGAATCACAGAATGGCCAGGGTTGGAAGGGATCTCAAGGATCACAAAGCTCCAACCCTGCTGCCACATGCAGGGCCACCAACCTCCACATTTAGACCTAGACCAGGCTGTCCAGAGCCCCATCCAACCTGGCCTTGAACATCTCCAGGGATGAATGGGGCATCCACAGCCTCTCTGGGCAGCTGTTCCAGCACCTCACCACTCCTTCTGTAAAGAATTTTGTCCTGACATCCAACCTAAATCTTCCTTCCCTCAACTTTAAACCATTTCCCCTTGTCCTGCAGTTATCAACCCTTCCAAAGAGTTGGTTCCCCTCCTGTTTGTAGGCTCCCTTGGGGTACTGAAAGGCTACAGCGAGGTCACCCCGCAGCCTTCTTTTCTCCAGGCTGAACGAGCCCAGCTCCTTCAGCCTGTCTTCGTAGCGGAGGTGTAGCTCAGCGGCTCTGAGCATCTGATGGAGCTGTGGGTGTCCCTGCTCACTGCAGGGGAGTTGATCTGATTATTTTAAGTGTTCCTTCCGAATCCAACAATTTGATTCTAGGATTTCTGGCCCCTTGGACAGAGCCATGACTGTTTTGCGCCATTGGTCTTCCTGACCTTACCCAGCATCCTTGTATGCCTATACACCAGCTGCATCCATCTCAGGCTGGGACTGACTTCATTTTCCTTCACACATCTAAATGCAAATGTCTACATGTGATAGAGTCACTCTCAGCTCCATTTTTTTTAGTCATAAAAGACAAATGTCCACTGTTAAAGTGGTTCTGTAACCCATTTTAGATGTCAGCCTTAGGGTAAAACAGATGACATATTGCGCCTCTAAAACAAGATGAGGTGACTCCTCGCTGACTTGCCTTGCATGTGCCATTTGTGAGGGACTGACATACAGCCTGCTAAAAGTTCACTGAGCTTCATGTGCCTAATCAGCAAAATGGCTTTTCCCCAAGCATTTCAGAAAGGAGATGAAAGAGGAGTTTAACATTACTGTTAACCCCAGATGCACAAGAGAGCATATTGGTTTCTTTGGCAGGTCACCTTAGAATCATAGAATCCTTAAAGCTGAAAGGAACCTCTGAGGGCCATCTATTCCTTGCAATTGATAGGGAAAATTTTCCAATGCCTTGTGCCAAGAGAGCAGTTTAAGCCTTTGGTGTGCAGCTACCTAGGAGTCCATGGCTCCTCTAAAGGCCTGGAAGTTGTGACATCTACCCCAGACACGTCAGCTGTTATACAAGAGTTTGTAGCCCCAGGGGGGAGTTTGGCAGCTCCAGGCTGAAAATCACTGTCAGAAGTTATGTTCTCATCTGGACCATCCTACACCTGTTCTGATATCCAACGCTGTTCTTCATCATCAAGGTTGGATGGGGCTGTGAGCAACATGGTCTAGAGGGAGGTATCCCTGCCTATAGCAGGGGGGTTGGGAATAAATGATCTTCAAGGTCCCTTCCAACCCAAAGCATTCTATGATTCTATGATCATGATTCAGACATGGATAGAGGTGTGGATTCTTGCTATCTTGCTGTCACTGTTTCTACATGCCCTCAGCACAATGACTTGTTCTGGCTCTGAGACCCTGATGGAGCTGTTGTTGTCCCTGTTCATTGCAGGGCAGTTGGACAAGATGGCCTTCCAAGGTCCTTTCCAACTCAAAACTGTTCTATGATTCTATGATATTGGAGAATCGTGTTTGGGGTGGTGTTCTCTCTTTGCCTGTGTGCCCCATGCCTCTGGATGATTCTGACAGGTCCCTTGGGCAATCTTTAACCTGTGTGTTCATACACAGGAGCCAGGTGGCACCACCGTGACCACCTGACTCTGGCCCTTCCTCCTCTCTGCACCACTGCTCCCACAAAAGGAGCTGTATTCAGCCCTTAACGGATGCGGAACGTGTTGGTGTGGAGGCTGTTCCATTCATCACGGGTCTCCCTTCTCTATTCATTGTATGTTGGATACAATGAATCAATGTTAATGAGGCAATTTTGGTCATTTCCACTTTGTATGCACAATAATTATTTTTCAACCCTGCAAAATAGTTCCTAATTAAACTGATGGATTTCAGCAAGGTTTCGCAAGACTAAACCTCTTCCTCTATTATAGGGGAAGCGTGGCCTGTGAACTCCATTGTGACTGAACTCCGCAAGGCACAACAAGGTTTTCAGATGCCTTCCCTTGGTGGATTTTAATAGGCTGAACAAATTGGAACCTTTGGTGAAATCAAAGATAAAGAAAGAGGTGACACGTCTCTTTCTCGTGGAGGAAAAAAAAAAAAAAAAAAAGCAAAATAATTCCTTTAAATGCCCGAGGACAATGTGATATCAAATGTGCAGGATGAATCTCATTACTTTGTTCAAAGTCAGGAATGCCTGCCCATGAAAATGCAGGAAGGAAACTAAGGGAGGGCTGACATTTCAGCGTATTGCCTGCTGCTCTGTAAACAGCCCTGATCCAAAGGAATCATCTGAATGCAGCATCTCCGAGCCTTTGTGCCACATGGAAGTGTTATTTCTTCTCAATGAGAACTTCTGAACCAAATGGAGGTCAAGAGCCTATTACTACCAGCCTAAAAGCATAAGCAGTGCTCTTAGAGGAGCCTGGAGGAGCAGATGCTTTAAAGTTAAATGGTCTCACTGTCGAACAAGAAGTGCTGTCCTTGAAGCAAGCTGTTACAGCTGCTTAGGACATTGGTGCTAGTTCCATGAATAGATTACAACAATTCAGCTGAGCCACAGCTATTGCTTGGTGCACACTCATAGCCATGCAAAAGCAGTATTCTGGTCTGAGCTTAGCTCGTGACCAAGAGGATGAGCCTAAAAGAAAGTGCCTCTCATTATCTGCAGGATGGAAAGTGCACAAAGGCAGCTGATGGGCACTGTCTCAAGACAGAGTAATGTGACCTTGTGTGTGTGTCTTCAGGCATGAGGAACGTGAGATCAGCAGGCTGCACGTTTTTGGGGAGGCGAAACAAAAGCAAAGTGGGTGTCTAAGGTCCTGTGTAGGTGCTTCTAGTCAGTGTGCTCTGAGCCCAAAATCTTTTGTAGAAGACCAATGCAAGCCCAAAGCCAACAGCAAATGGGGGTCACTTTTAACATCACATGGGAGCTCCTCCCTTCATGCCCCAGAGTATTTGCCTTAGAATTAGAGAATCACAGAGTCCTTAAGGTTGTCACGACCACTAAGATCATCCAATCTGACTATCAGCCCATCACCACCGTATCACTAAACCATGTCACTCGTTGTGACATCTGCCCTTTTCTTGAAACATCCAGGGACAGTGACTCCATCACTTCCCTGGGCAGCCTGTACCAATTCCTCATCACTTTGTATGAGAGTAAATGCTTCCAAACATCCAACCTGAACATTCCCCAGTGCAACTTGGGGCCGTTCCCTCTTGAACCATTGGGAAATACTTTGTGCAAGCACTGAGAATCGAGGAACGCAAAGCTGAAATGTACAGCACTCAGTCAATGGCATTGATAAGGATATAAAGCAGCTGTTTGCCCCGAAGACACCTTTGGAACAGATGAAGACATAAAACACAGGTATGGTGCTAGGATGGGGGGGTAAGTGAAACTCTTATACTTGCAAAGCAGTGCCTATTACAGACCACTGCTGCCTCCCAATTAGCCCATCTGCAGGGACTGTGCCCTGTACCCTTACTTCTCTATGTCCCAGCATTTTACTCTCCACCTTTCACCCTGATTTTACTTTTTCTCCTTCATATTTGTTACCAAAG